AAGGGAAATGAGAAGTAGTGTAGGGGTAGGAAAGGGTTGAAAATCTAGACAGTTGGTCGAAAATGCTCACTGAGAAGGCCTCATATGAGCAACACTGAAGAGAGTGAGAGTGGGCCAGCCACACGTCGGGAAAGGACATTCCAGGCACAGGGAAGAGCCAGTGCACAGGCCCTGCTGTGTTGAGGACTAGCATGGACACCAGTACAAGCAGGATGTGAGGGAGGGGAGGGTCACAGGAGATGACCTCAGTGAGGTTCCAGAGGGGCACATCAGGTAGGCCCTGAGGGTTCCAGTGAAGACTCTGGCTCTTATCCTGAGTGCAACGGGAGCCACTGGAGGATCTGAGCCAAGGAGTAGCACAATCTCACTTATGATTAGTAAGACACAGCCTGCTGGGTACCCCGCACGGGAGAGACTGAAGTGGTGTCAGAGCAGAAGCCACGAGGCCAGCTTGGGCATCACTGAAACACTCCAGGTGAGGGACAACGGTTGCCTAGACCAGTGTGGAAGCTGTAGAGGTAGAGAAAAGCAGCCGGATTCTGGATGTTTATTAAAGGTAGAGTCAAGGATTTGCTAATGGATATAGATGTGAAAGAAGGGACGGACCCAAGGACTTAGGCATAAGCAACTAGAAGTCAGAGCAAGACTGTGGGAAGAAGAGGTCCAGGGTGGGGGTAAGGTGTGGGAAAAAGGGAAAGCAGGAGCTCAGTTTTGGATAAATTAGGATTGGGTGCCCAGTGGACATTTAACAAGAGATGCTGAGTAAGTAGATGGATCCATGTATCTGAACTTCAGGCTAAAGATAAAAATTTGGGAGTTATCAATGGACATACAATATGCAAAGTTTTGAGAGTGGATGAGATTGCTGAGGACATGGAGGTGGACTGAGGAGGGTCCAAGAACTGAGCCAGGGAACTGCTCCAGAGAGATATCAGGGAGATAAAGAGGAACTGGCAAAGCAAACTAGAAGGGAACAGGCAGAGAGGAAGGGCAAAGTCAGGCGAGGCCTGAAAGCCAAGCGAAGCAAGTACTGCAAAGGCAAGAGATCACATGTGTCAGCTGCACTGAGAGGTCAGAAGATGAGGATCGAGAGGTGGAGGCGCAGACTAACTTGAATACAGTCTGAGTTTTCAAGAGAGAGGTCAAGAGAGGATAGCACAAGAGAAGTTGCAACAGGCTTAGGCAACTCTTTCAAGGAATTCTGCTGACTTAGAAGGAGAGAATGGGCTGAAAGTGGCATGAAGAATTTTTTTTTTGGATGGCAGAAATAACACAACATGCTTGAATGCTAATGGGATGACCCAGTAGAGAGAAAAATCAATGAATCCATGAAGAGAGATGTGTGAAACAACACTGAGTGGCCAGGCAGAATGATTCGGTGATTCGAAAGGTTCTTTGACTTAAAAGACTGATAAATTATACATCTTCTTTTCCCAATTGAAACCCAACATCTCTGTCATACAGTTCTTAAGAGTATTTGTCTCAGAAAACAAGGACACAATCACAAATCTGTAGGGGCTGAAGGCAAAAAGATAGCGATTGTTAAATTCTTGTTTTTAAAGTGAAATTTATCACCTCGTACCTGCTCCATGACATACGAGGAACTGAAAACCCCACTGCTGCTGCTGCTGGAGCTGGTGGAGGAATCCGCGGAGCTTCCAGATGGGGTCCCACTGCCAGAAGTCTTCACTGTAAGCACTTGCTCATCAGAGAAGCCCAGCTGGTGGAGCAGCTTTTGATCTCTATTCACTGTCAGCTGCAAGAAGTGATTTCTTAATTATTGAGAGGGAAAGGAAGAGGAAATTACTCATATCAGGCTAAACAGTGGAATCGTATCAGTTTATTATTCATAAAAACTGCTTATTCAAACCTACCAGGCTATCATTTGTAAATATCTGTATATTATCCACAGGAGAGCACAACTGCTTGGCTATCTTCCATCGGACACTCCCTATGGTTTCATTACTGTGAGCCTGTGAAACACAATTAAACACTGTTGTGAGAGAACTCATCTACCTACCGTTAGTGAGCATCTATCTACTACGTACCCAGCACTGTTCTAGCAGCTGGGAACACAGCAGACGGCCCAAAGACAAGGAATCCTGCCCTTGTGAGCTTTCCCTTCCGCCGTCTCCCTCCCCACATCACGCATGGAATAAAATCTTAAGTCCTTCTTCCACTGCAGCGTCTTCCACTCTTCCTCCTCCTCACTGTGCTCTACCCACACCAGCCACCTTACTTGCCTCTGCGCCTGCTGCTCCCCTTGCCTGGAATGCTCTTCCAAGTAAACACCCCTTACTCTGTCACTTTACTCAAGTTTGTGCTCAAATGTCACCACCTCAGAGAGACCTTTCCTGTTCATCTTTATCTAAAATACTTCATGCACAGCCGTCACCTTCTACTAGCTGACCCTGCTTTGTTTTTATCTATTCTCTATAACATTTATCACCACCTGACATCATATTATACATTTATTTATATACCTGCTTATACTCTACAGTTTCCTTTCGTTGCAGGTCTGTATTCTAAATTTGTTTACCAAACAGCTGTGAGAATCATCATTCATGCAACTACCTCAATTAAGACTGTTCTTA